TAAATCATTACAAGATCTTGGTAGTTCCATATTCGCTTTCCGGCTTATTTTCGTCGCTCTTCTAAATTTATCGCCCGTCTCTCAGAATAACTCTTCTCCTAACGAAACATTCAAACCCACCTCTTGTGTCTTACGAATTGGTTCTTTGCTTTCTGTCATTGTCTTTGCTCAGCAGATTTTCTCGTTTGCTTCTTGAATGACTGAATCCCCTTCGCTATTCTGATATTCAAATTCTGCAGCCAATTACCATTTTTATTCTCTTTCTTTCTTAAATATTAATTAATGAAATAGCTGGCATCACTAGCATACTTGTGGCTTATTGAAGAATATGAATGGTTTTATATTGGTTCAAAAATTAGTGGAAAATGAAATCAAGGCACAATTCGTGAGAAATTTATAAGAAATTGCGTTTAAAATAGACTTACCTGGATTGTCTGGTCTCTAGGGGATAAATTCATTGGAGAAAATTGCGGAGGATTGCGCGTGTATGCTTCGCGGAGCGTATAATTCGCGAGCGGAAAGCTTCTTCGTGGAATAAGACTCTGGGAAAGTCTTTTTAATATACACGTATTTGTACGTTCATGCTTGGAGTTAGTTACTTTGAAGATTGGAGGCATCTTCTTCGACACCAATAATTAGACGAGTTGGAATTCATAATTAATGAATAGTGGCTGGCATACGAGATACGTGAAATTGTGCCGTGATAATTAGGAAACTCAACTTGGAACAACTTGTTAGAAATCGCTGAAATTAATCCACTCAAATGGTTATTCTTTACTGTTAAAGTAGATGTATTAAAAATTACTGGATTTTATATAAATTCTATAGTAATACAATTTCATGACATAAAAGTTTTATAAAATACTAATTGTCGTATCAATTTGAAGCTTAAGGTATAATAAAAATAAATACGTAAAAGTTTCAGCAATTATCTGAATACAATTTCAGTGGTTCTTTATTACAGCAAACAGTTAATTACATAATCCATTAACAGATATCCAATTCCAATTATTTGTATCTCAAAATAATAAAGAAATTTTTGATAAAAATTTATTTAAAAGAAAAATTACGGTATATTTGTCGACATAAAGTTAAAAATTAGAAAAAATAATTAAGTAAATAAAAATATTATTTTGATTATAATAATAGCAATTAAACGAACCAAGATAATAATTGCAATAATTGTAGCAACAATTTTAGTAACCATTGTAGTCGTAAAAAACTTCTTTCTCCTCAGATAGCCATGGAAATGTAAATGGTTAGCATAAATGGTTCATTTCAAGGCAAATGCAGCTTACCGTGTGCTCTGCAGTTGCATCAATTTATTCTGAACTGCACTACTTACAGAAAGAAAGCTATTGTTACCGGTATAAATATAATGAAATTACTATTTTTTGGACTTGTTAACGGAAACTGCTTAGCTATTACTTAAATTTTTCTCACAGTTTTTTAGTCAAAATCCGAAATGAACCTAAGAAATATTTCAAATAGAGAAAATTGGAAGATTCTGTTCAAATTACGTTAGCATTGATTAATTTCGAGCGATAGGATGAAATCTATCGTGACTCACTTACAAATAAATTTTAATTCCAAGTAAACACACAAATTTTTAAATAAAGAAATTTCATATATTAAGAAATAACATTCAAATGGGTAGAATAAAATTTCAAAAATGAAAATAAAATTAAATTGAATTCGTTCCTGTCTCACTGTTAATTCACTTTTATGGTTTAATATATTTGAAAAATATTACGAAGGAATTATTTCATAAAAGTGTTCCAAATTTTTTCTAGGAAATTTTTCTCCGCGTCATACATTGCATAGCAGTGTAAGCATTCGCTTCATAAAATGAAATTGTAATATCAAACAAATTGAAATACGATTATGTCTGCAATCACTTCCCGTTTAATAAAACACTTGATGTAGCAAATAGATTTCAATTATAAACAATTGATCTGTGGTATGTACTACTGGTGTGTACTGTGGTATCTACTTTACTTGTAGAGTTCAGATTAAATTTGTTTTGATAGATTTTTGAATGAAATTCTGGAATTCCTTGTGGCAGAAATCGAAGAAGCAACAGTTGAGATAGGTTTCGCATAGAGAAAACTGTTTGTCGGCTGACGAGTTTAACTCTTGAACAGCGAAGTTTGAGTTAATCGTGACCCAAGATTATATTTTCATTTCTTATTTTACGATCTATTTGGATCGTTATGTGATCAGTTCGTTTCACAATCGAGATAATCTAAGAGACCCTCGATGAGGCTATTCTGCTTATATCATCAAGAGATTCCCTTTGTATACTTATGTAATCAGACCAAGTAATTTTACTATGGGGAAATGTTTTGAGATTCGAATCGCCTTCATATTTTAGGATTCTTTCCATTTCAAAGGAGGAAATGGAAGATAAGATAGATAAAAAAAAGTATTATTAGAAATAATCTAAATTTATAATAATTGTATCAAGGAAATCGTAATGTTTTCCATATATAACACTTTTTTTATACAAAAGTGCATGTTGAAATTTTATGCTTCTTTAAAAGCACTCATATAATCCATAAATTTTGTCAATGATAAATCAAGGTTTTAGTGACGTGAATAAATGGCCAATAATTCATCTAGTCAGGTACTGTAACAAATGTCAGAAGATAATATTGAGGCTGATTAATCAGATGCATTTTTGGTTTCGTGTGAGTGCTGATTTATCTTATTTTATTTTGTAATACACTCCTGTCAAAGTCTATTAATTGTGTATGTGCATTAGGCTATCATTTATCATTTTAATAAATTTTAGAAATGCAATTTATTCAATAAAAGGAAGCAATAATATTTCAAACACGTTAAAATTATTAAAAGGATTTTAGTTATTAAAATAACTTTCAGTATTAAAATTAAAACAGTACCATTTCTGTATTAAAATTATTAAAGTATAACTTTTAATAACTTCTACAATTTTTATATATTAAAATAAAATTCATTAAGGAATAAACTCATAATGGCAATTGAATTCTAGAATGAGGTACCTTTTTAATTAAGTACCTCCAGAATTTCCTCATGAATATTGCATACCTTTCTATCTTATTTTCAACTCACAATGACAGAACTAAAAATAAGTTTCCCATCTCATTTTCTAACTTATAAGTTATTCCTTTAGGTATTACTTTTCTAATATATAAAAGTCTTTTTATTTACAATTTTCAGTGCCTAACTTTAATTGAATCATCATTGTATACATTTCATTTCTCCTTATTGATGTTACGTATTCATAACTTAAATATATGGCTTTTCTTCCATTGCTATTGTTTACTTTGTATGTATCTACAAAATCGCTTTGAATCAACTCGAATTGCTTTCGATTTCTTTTGATAACCATTTGATTGTAAGATTTCATCCGTGAAAGTCTTTACTTGGGGTAAACAGAAATGGTCGAAAGGGAAACGGCACGAAGGTGGTCGTGCTCGTAAAAAGAGTAAACGAATTCACATGGAATTAACGTTGAATGAGGAAAGTAAGGGGTGCCGCCTAATGGAAGGTGCTTGTACTTAGCCAGGTCACGAAATAAGTCATCTAAAAATAGGTTACACGTTCTGGTTACTTTTATCACTACTTCCTGGAAAAAGTCATATCACATTTCACTTACTTTTTCAATTATTGATTTATAATATTTTGGGTACAATGGTTCCTAGAGGACTGAGTGCTCGGAGCGTTTACCAATAATAATAATAATAAAATTTATAATATTTCTCCTTGAAACAATCCAAATTCAAAGTTATAAGCCATAAATTTTATATTTTAATCCAATGACCATTAATTTTCTAATTTGAATTTTTAATGAGCTATCTCATATCACCTAACAGTAATTATTATAAAGATAACAGTATTGTTATTTAAAATTTTTCTTTTTTGCTTTTTAATTACTCAATTATATTAAATTTGAATTACTATGGCAGTGAATTTGTGAAAGATTCTTCGGGACACAAATGGTGTATTGATCAAAGTTCCTATTACAAACTGAAACTCACCCTATTCGTGTTTAAAAACCGTCAAAACGACCCTTTGCTTTCCCCTTCAGCTGAATCGTGTGTTCGATAGGATCTAATTTAGAAGTTCAATGTGCTCGCCTCGCCATTGTTCATGGTGTCGGGACCGATAATCAACCCTCCTTTCTGTGGTTTACTATCGGGGGAAAAAAAGTGTAATATAAACGTTTCTCATTCGAGCGAAATTTTGCCATCTTTCAACGTTGTAATTCTGGGTTAGGAGGCTTAGCAAAGTAGGCCGAGCCGTGAAACTGGTGGAAAACTTTACTCGACGTGTATAAGAGGGCCTATGGTACATACACCACCCTTTCTCTGTCCTCTCTCTCGTCATCGTATTCCTATTTCCACTCCTTTCCTGTTTTTAGTTCTACCTTAGTCGCTCGTCTTTCCTCCACTTTTCCGTCATCGATCCGTGTACCCATCATCGAGTCAGCTCGCTGTTGCCAACACTTTCAGGCTACTTTCGTCCGAGATGACCGTTTAAAAATTTCAATCGTCCCCAATTTCTTGGTAAAATTCAGGCTTAAGGTTGTTTTTCTGACCCACTTTCTGCTCAGTCTTCTTACATAATTGATGAGGAAGAAGCCATCTGTAAGGGATGAATTATTGGGTAACTTTTTTCTCCCTTTCTTTTATTAATTATTCGTTATCAACTGCTATAGTTGAAATAATAATATTTGGATTAAAATTTTTTTCTTTTATTTAATTACATATTAATTACAGCATACTTCATTAGAGACTCAAGACTAATTAATAATGATCATTAAAACCTTAAATTATTTCAGATCCCCTCCTACACCTAAGAATCCTGAAAATCCAGCAGTAGAATAATTTTTTCATTTAGAAAAATATAATTAGAAATATTTCAGCATGCAGTGATTACCAAGAATAATTTCAGAAGATTTTTGTTTGATTCATCTAATCTTGTATTTTTTTTCTGTCATGTTTTTACTGTTTCAGGTCACAGATCTTTCGACGGCGAATTCGTCCAGTACAGCACCTTTTATTTATAAATTTAAAGGATATCCTTGATATTCTATATTAACATAAGATGGGATGATTGTCGTGTGATTTCGTACATACATTTGTGTCTAATCGTAATAACGATCATTTTTCAGAAGAAATAATAGTGAACGTTTGATCTTTCCAATTGGCCAATTCAATGAATAATTTCTTGAACGTGAAATGAATTGAACAGATATGTCATAGGTTTCTGTTTTAATTAATATTTTATACAGTCGTGAACCTCGTAGGATTTACACTTACATTGTGAAGAAATTGTGTACATAACGCTTGTAAGTTGGCAAAAAAAAATGGTACGATTGAATAATAAGATTAAAAGATATAGTTAGTAACAAAGGTTCAAACGATTACTAATGTAGAATTCAGAAGAGAGATTAATTAATTATTTGTTCGGCGACTATAAAGGTGAAAGAGCTTATTACCGTCGATTCGATTTTACTTATTAATTTGTTTCTCTCTCTTTTTTGTATGGAAAAGGGTTCTTAAAAATTCACGGATAATGGTAGATGAGCCCCTGCCATTTCCGTGAAACTAGGAACAAAGTAAGGGTGCACGTTTCGAAAGTAATTTTATTCACGACGCGACGTGACAGTTTGTTTTCCAGTGAAACATCGTAGGTTTAAGGTTGTAAGTTTTAAGGAAGCTCGGAGAAATGTCCTCATACAAGTTGTAAAGTACGTATATCAATAAAGACGCTGATGTGGTGCAATAAATTATCAACTTCTTGTTTCACATGTTTTATAAATTGTTTCTCTCAAATCATAAACCTTCTCTACTAGAATTTCCAACGTCCCTGAGTGCTCGAGTGAATGCAAGTTATATCATGTTGATATTTTATTTTTTATTTTAGGTTTGGAGAATGATAGATTAATAGAATGAATGTCCTTTTTTATTAATATTTCAGGTTCTTCAATTAACCCATTATAATTTTTATTATTATTTTAGTTATATATGTGCAAATGTGAATATTTCAGGAGTGGAGCGAACTGTATAAGTTGTTTTAAAGTAATTAGTTTTATTTTAATTATTATTTTAATTTAGTATTACATAATAATTTTCCATTATTATTTAACAAGATTTACAGGAAATCTGTGGTGGACGAAGTAGTATGAGTCAATAATTAATGATGCATTGCATTTAAATTCTCAAAATCGAATTTATACCTCTACAACAATTACATTACCACTTCAATTTAATATTACGCTATAATTTTCCTTTATTATTTTCTATAATTCACGATTAAATAGTAAAACATGCTCTTAGATTAGTAGTGAAACTGTTTACACGATAACAGTGGTGCACGAGGTAGTATAAATCAATAATAAGCGACACGCTGCATTAGAATTTACCAAATCGAATCTAATGCTTTTACTAAATCATAATTTCCCTTTATTAGCTTTTGAAATTCATTGTTAAACATTGTTAAGTAAATATTGCCATTATACTAGAAGCAAAACTATTAACAGAAAATCTATGATAAAGCAAGTAGTACAAGTCAATAATCTCTGCCACATTGACTTAAAATTCACTAAATTAAACAAATACTTTGAATTTTCCTTAAAAATCTACATCTCAATAATCTTAATAATCATTTTAAATTATTATAATTAATTTCAATTTAAAAAATTGCATTGAATATCGATGAAGCCCTACGTGTTTGACCGAAATAAAAAAGAACACGTGTACTTCCGAACTAAGCAAAAAAGAACTTTACTGTTCCATCCAGCATTTAATTTGCAACGAAAATTCATTTCGGTCGATGATTCGACAAAAATCAGCTCCGCTAGGGGAAGCATAATCCGGAAGAAACGAGCATCCCCTAGCGGTGAATCACATCCGGTGAAGCGACAAACGGTCGAACAAGAACAACATTTCCATTTCTCCCAACAATGCCCCAGGGTACAGCATTGTCAGTCGGTTGTAATATCTGTGCAGAAAGTCAATGTCAGTGGGACTTAACGATACGAATGCTTAGGAAAAAGACTAATGATCGGTCGTCGAAGAGAGTCAAATGATTTCCTTAAGGTGGCTAATGTATTGGAAAAAGAGACGCTTATCCACCTTCAATCGGGTACATTTATAATGGCCGTGTCAAAGACGAACATTCAGCAGTTATCTCCCTAAAGCTAACCGGGGTATAATGAAAAAAATTCATTAATCATTCGAACATCGATGTTTAAGACTTCATCTTCTTAAAGGAGGTATATACATTTTTTAATAACTCCAGTATAGGCATATTGTGTTTTAATAACATTTTAGACATGCTGTACAGCAATTAACATAATCTCCATTTCAATTTAAGATACACGTTTAGTATTATACCGGACTTTGAACTTCATTAAAAGGAATATTTGTTAGGTGTTTCACCAAACAGTTAAGTTGAATTACTGCAGTTAAAGAGATCAAGTATTGTACGGTCATAGGGGGAAAGTATAATGTGCTATTGAATATGTATTACCTCCGTTGAATATTAATGTTCAAACATGACGCGTCGTAATTTCAGTGGTAATAATTTCTTGTAATAAATTTTGCATTCATTCATTTATCTTCTTCACTTAGTTGGTTCATTGTTTACTAGTCATTAAATATTTCAGAAGCAGAAACTATTTTTATACTATAATTATCACGTCATTGTGAATTTTGGAAATTTAAAATTCCGAAGTTCCGAAATTCTGAAATTTTGAAATTTTTAAGTTTTAGAATGATGAAAGTTTACATTTTTAGAAAAGGGCCAATTTAGATTCTTAGTGGTGGCAAGTCCACCCTGACCACTTAGTTACACCATAACGACATACAAATTTCTATTGTCTATTTTATTAGAAAAAATGACATTTTTACTTTCAATAATATCAATCGTCTGATAGTATCAAGTCGTCTGATAAGTTTAATTGATACTAAACGGACAGACAGCTGGATTACAAGTTCTTACGGAGATTCGAAGTAAGTTGAAGGATTTGAAAGCCACAACCGTGAGTGGAGAACATTATCCTTCTAAGACCATCTCCAAGAGAATTTTGAAGCATTGTGGTAAACCTTAAAGAGTCGTCCTGAATCAAAGGATCAGTGATATCCTGCTGTTAGAATACTAATGCCCTTCCATCCTCCGTGAGTTCGCTATTATCGACAAGGGACGATCTTTTTCTTTGAACAGTCTCTTTTCACAAAAAGCATATGGGTTTAATATTTTAAGCAAAACAGTAACAACATAAAAGCTCTGTGCTTTATTAAAAATTTACATCATCCTGCTAAAAGTTTCGGTAGAGTAATATTATTAAATTTTTCACTTTACTGGCAAATGTGAATTCCCATTACCTTCACTGTTAATTATAACTCACTCAATGGGACGTGTTTCATTCCATTTAAAAAGAACTTCAACACCTTTTTGTATCGTTTATAATTTTAAACGTACGTATATCTTGTTACTGCAATGAAACTGGGCTTGAAATAATTCAAACCCTTTGTACAAAAAAAAAGTTGTTCTCCGGAAACTAATTTTGATATCAGAAAAATTTTAATTAAAAAATGTAATATTATGGGCGCTTTAAAACAGTGTTACCTTTTCATTAACTGTACCGTTGATAGAGTAGCTTGATGAGACAGGAGTTGGTTTATCATTACTTGATTTTCTTGCATCTGCATACATAGTTAATGCCATTAATCACGTGGCTGTTGTATAATTTAGCTGAGCGACACCTGGGTTTCGAGGGTTTTGGAGTCTGTATACGTCAACGCCAAAGTCTTTGTTTATTACGTTTCTCATTATAGTGATAATCTTTAGGAATGAATTAGGATTTGAAATATCCTTTTGACATTTAGCTCTCAGATGGTGGACCCAAGCCTTTATTTATTAAATTCACAATTTAATTTAATATTAGCGATTTTTAAGCATGCTAATGTTTCTCTTCCACCATTTTATTTCGCTTTTTTCCTCGAATTAAAAATTTAGAGGTTTGAAGAATTTTCCACCCCTTCAGCCCCATTCGCGGCAATATAATTAATCTACTGTATCAAAATCCTTTATTTAGACATTTAAATGCCTAATTTTATTCAATGGTTCATTGCAATTTGTCTTGTAAGACTGGTTCACTATTGACCCATTCAAGAATAAAATAGTTGATTTATGTAATAAATGTTTCAAAGCATCCAAAGTACATCCAATATTGCACCAGAGAATGACACCTACCACTGCCAGTTAACACATTACGTCGTGTTCATTACACCACACTGTCATAAAAGCACTATGTTAGCGTATGTTAAATCTTGATGACACACCACCCCATAAAGCTGCGCGTAATGCAACAGGGTGTACGTAATGTCCTATAGAAACGCACCCTTTCGCTGGTGGCGCGTATCAAACGTGCATGAGAATTTATCAGACCCTTTTCACTGGAAAATCGACTGAACGGAAGGGATTGGGAGGAAGAGGTTGGGTAATAACAATGCGAAGAAGTATAAAAAGGAAGCGAGGCTGGAACAGAGGGGTCTCGAAATACCCGGAAGCGTTTTCCTCGTCGAAGAATACCACCCGCCGGTGGTGGAACTTTTCTGCTTTGTCGAAAGATCGATGAACTCTGTCCTTAACTGTAACAAAGAGGAAAACAGAGGACACCCCCTGGATACTCGTGTTTGGGGCTGGAAAGCAACAAGCAGCTCTCTGAAGCGTAAACGAGAACAACATCGCGTGTAGGGATTGTTTTATGTTGATCTTTTGAATTGCAGGGTGAAAATATGAAAGCACCACTTTATAAAAATAACAAGATGTAAGCATTTCTTTTACGAGGGAAATTTGACAATTTAAAGATTAAATAAAAAGTGATGCCTTTTTATTTTTTTTCAATGAAATGGTAATATAGAGAAAACATCCCCTTGAAAAATTAAGACTGCTCGTGTTATTGCGAATATTTCCATAAATCAATATATTATTATTCCTATAGATACCATCGACAATGTTTTTGCTGTATTTTTAAAAATTTTTTTTTGTATATTCATTTCTATGATCCATTATTTTTTTTATTTGATATGGTGCACATTTGTTGTGTTATTATTCCTACAAATCCCATCGATAATGTTTTTGCTGTATTGCTTTCAATTCTTTTTTTTATGTTCATTTCCATAAAACGATATTTCTTCATATTGTTTGTTTTGTTTGATACAGTGCATATTTGTTATATAATTATTCCTACAAATACTATCGACAATGTTTTCGCTGTATTTTTTTCAATTCTTTTCGTGTTCAATTTATGTCCAGTTTTATATTTTTACGTACGAAACTTTATAACCCTCTAAGCAACTTTTCTTACTGCACGAAAGAAGATTTTCCACCGGTTCTGAAACGATAACTCAAGAATTTCAAATGAATCTGGCATTAAACTTCTCGAAAGTTTCGAAAGCTCCTACCAATCTGAACGATTTGTACTCGAGGGAACTTTTTAAAATACTACACAAAGATTTCCAGATCTCATTCCGATCTACTTTCCTTTTTGCATTTTAATTTTCCAACTGAAAGAATTGTTTCAGTCTAAATCTCCAATAATAATCAATAGAAATTTGCCTATAAATGATACCAATTATTCAAACGTTCTTTTCATCCTTTCAATTCTTCTCGCGCCCGTATCGTTTAATTATAGGGAGGCGAAAAAAATGAACTGGCTGGTAAGAGATAAACCCTTTGTTCACGGTTTTCATCGTTAAACTAGATCAAAGAGGAACAGGGTCATTTTGACATGCATC